CGGTCCTGTGTTGATTCGGCCTGTGTGTAAAAAAATAAACATCAGCATCGGGGAGACAAAGGCGGCCGGGGGAGTGGTAATGTCCAACACCAGCCACTCGTGTGCCGTGCTCGCAAACAGCACTTGCCTCAACAGCCCGTTGAAGGCTACACGGGGGACACTTTGACTTTGCCCAAGCATCTTCTGTTCGGCCCGATAGAGGGGGCTTAACGGGACGCGGCACGGGCTCGAGAAGAGATGCAGCTGATGCGGTAGAGGATCCTCCTCCTGTACCAAGGGGGAGAGGGAAGGAAGGAGTGTCCTGGGAGAGTGTAAGTCGAGGTTGGAGAGGCAAGGAGTGTGCGTGGAGCTGAGTGGACGTGCCGATGACCGGTTCCGGCGGTGTCAAGATCGGGCCTCTGTGGAGGAGGAGAAGGCTCGTGAAGGACGCTGCTCCTGCTGCTGGGTGGCTGGAGGCAGTCGCCCCTTCTCCAGCAACAGCGGATGAGCGGCGCTCACAACAACGAGCAGAGCGCCTGGCGGTTAAAGTCACAGCGAGTTTGGCACAGTGGGAGGCACTGGTGGTGCATCTGTCCAGTCGTCTCAGTCAGTCAACCCATGGCACCTGCTGGGTCTATTCTGTGACCTCCTGAGAGCGAGCCTTCGACACTTCACGTGACGGGCCCAAAGTGCACCTAGCCTGGCACAAGCACCGAGACAACGTCACGATGGCCTCGTGGCGGCTGTTGGGTGTCTCCGTGCTTGTTGCGTCTGTGTGTCTGTCTGTGTGTGCAGGGGGGAGCGGTGGCGAAGCGGTTAGCGCGCTGCGCTACGACCCCACCGACCCGAGTTCGATTCCCGCTCACGGCCACCAACACCAGTGGCGATTCATTATCTGAACCGCTCCTGGGACTCCCCTAGGTCGGCTTGGCCTCAAATGAGTACCTGGTGCGGTTTGGTGTAAACATCGCCACTGGGGAGACAAAGGCGGCCGGACGGGGTGCTGGCCACCCACCCACGCCCACGTGGTGCCGTTCCGGCCTTCATCGGCCCTTTCTCGCTCACAGCACTTGCCCCACCAGCCCTGCTCAGGCTATACGGGGGACCTTTATCTTTAGCGCACTCCGTGTCGGCAAGTGTGACGGGGAGGGAGGGAGGGAGAGTTGGGGGAGGGGCGCGGGGTGGGGGGGGAGAGGGGGATCAGGAAGCCGAGTGATGTTGAGATCGATAGAGCCGTGTCCCACGTGCAAGCGAGTGCGCCGTGAGGGAGCGGTGGCGCAGCGGTGAGCGCACTGCGCTCCGAGACCCCCCCCCCCCACCCCCGGGGCCACGTGACACCACGGGTCGATCCCCGCTCGCGGCCGCCCGGCACCGCCGATGGGCACGGGCTGTGCTACGTACGGCGCGAAAGAAGTTAGACGGACATAGAACGGTGCTGACTCGCCGACAGCACGTGGCCCCAACAGTCCGTTCAAGTCGATACACGGGGCATCTTTATCTTGTTGTTTGCGAGAGAGAAGAGAGAGTGAAGTCGTGAAATATTTTGTGAAATATTTCATTTAAACAAGGGGGGCACATAAAGCAAAGCCTTGAAAAACAAAACACACAAAAAACCGAAATGATGAACGAGGCAAAGTGCCGACTACACCGAGCATCTTCTTGTTTCGTCTGATCGTGAAAACAAGAGAGAGAGAAGAGAAGAGTCATCGTCGGTTCGGAATGCGCGGGGAAGCGATGAGGGTCAGACACAAGAGAGTTCACTCTCACTTGGGGCTGAGCGGATCTAGAGGAGAGCCACAACACGGGAAGACATGCGCCACAAATGTCGACCGTGAGCGGGAATCGAACTCAGGTGGACCGGGTTCGCAGCGCTACCGCTCCCGACTCGCGTACACAGACAAAGCTCCTCCGTATAGCCTTGCCATGCTGCGGGGGCAAGTGCGGTTAGCGTGTAGCAACGACCACGAAAGCCGGCACGGAGGAAGGGGGTGGTGGTGGTGGTGGTGTTGGTGTGGTCAGCAACTACGCCCGGCCGCCTTTGTCTCCCCGCCACGGTGACGAGCGTTGCCCTCGTGCGTGGCAGGCCGGGGGCTGACCGCCTATCGCGGCCTCCGAATCGGCGAACAAGAGAGGCGCTCGACTTGCAGGAGACGACTCAGTTGCAGCTCAGCGACGCCTCCTTCCGCGGGCCGTTTCGGCTCCATCGGCGCGGCAGTTGAAGCAATTGGTGGGGGTGAGGGGGGGGGGTAGTGGGGGGTGGGGGGTGAGGGGTGGGGGTTTCTAACATCACCCCCTCCCCGTGTCGTCGCCTATGTCAAACTCATGGTGGCAGTGGGTAACAGCCTACCTCTTCCTTCTTCTTACAAGACGGTAGCCGGCCAAGCGTGGAAGAGTCCCCCCCCCCACGCAGCAGGGTCAGAGATTCCCTCCTAAGCGGAGGGGCCCCCTGCCGCACAACAGCGACGTTGGGCGGGCACCTGCAGGGGCTGCGCCTCTACCTCGAAATGAACTCGCGGCAGCGCGCAACCTGCTACACACCACGTGTCTTGGCGTCGTCACCACCACCACCACCACCACGGTCTATCCGCTGCTGGATGAAGGACTCCTCTTCATCCCCCCTCCTCATCCCCCTCCTCATCCCCCCTCCTCATCCCCCCTCCTCATCCCCCCTCCTCATCCCCCCTCCTCATCCCCCCTCCTCAACCCCCCTCCTCAACCCCCCTCCTCATCCCCCCTCCTCATCCCCCCTCCTCCTCCCCCCTCCTCATCCCCCCTCCTCATCCCCCTCATCAACCCCCCTCCTCATCCCCTTCCTCAACCCCCTCCTCATCCCCCTCCTCAACCCCCCTCATACCCCTCCTCAACCCCCCTCCTCATCCCCCTCCTCAACCCCCTCCTTATCCCCCTCCTCATCCCCCCTCCTCATCCCCCCTCCTCCACCCCCTCCTCATCCCCCTCCTCAACCCCCCTCCTCATCCCCTTCCTCAACCCCCTCCTCATCCCCCTCCTCAACCCCCCTCCTCATCCCCCTCCTCAACCCCCTCCTCATCCCCCTCCTCATCCCCCTCCTCAACCCCCTCCTCAACCCCCCTCCTCAACCCCCTCCTCATCCCCCCTCCTCCACTCCCTCCTCCACCCCCTCCTCATCCTCCTCCTCATCCGCCCTCTTCCACCCCCTCCTCAACCACTTCATCCACCTCCTCTCATCATCATGACGGTGGCTATGAGATGTTAACTACCTCGCCTGGTATACAGGAGACCGTGAGTTCGATCCCGACCCAGATGCCTGCTGCTGTATATTTGGAGTTTGCGTGCCTCTCTCTCTCGCCGTGGTCGCGTGGATTTTTCTCCGGGTCCTCCGGGGTTTCCCCTCCACATTTAGTATAAACATCACCGCGCGTTTAGAGTCTTTGGCTGCTATAAATCTCCACGTGATGATGATTAATTATAATTTGTGATAGCCACGTGGCTTCTGACAAATGGCTATAGAGCAGCTCAGTGAGCCTTACCGGTAAAATAAAAAAAAACTAATTGTGTCATTTTCGTCGTTTTAGTTTCGTCTCGACCGCAGCGATAGCAGCAGCAGCAGCGCCCAGTGACCTGAGACGCCAAACGGCCAACAACAATCAGCACTGATCTTAGAAGATGTGCAATCGATGTTGAGTGTGGATAACGCGTGCCTTGGATTTGAGCAAGTTCATTGTTGTTGTTGTTGTTGGAAGAGCTTGGAGGAAGAAGAGACGATGTTGATGGTGGTGGTGATGGTGGTGGTGATGGTGATAGTGGTGATGATGGTGGCCATGATTGTGGTGGTGATGGTGGTGATGATGGTGGTGATGGTGGTGATAATGGTGATGATGGTGGTCATGATTGTGGTGGTGATGATGGTGATGATGGTGGTGATCGTGGTGATAATGGTGATGATAGTGGTCATGATTGTGGTGGTGATAGTGGTGATGATGGTGGTGATGGTGGTGATAGTGGTGATAGTGGTGATGATGGTGGTGATGGTGGTGATGGTGGTGATAGTGGTGATGATGGTGGTCATGATTGTGGTGGTGATGGTGGTGATGATGGTGGTCATGATTGTGGTGGTTATGGTGGTGATGATAGTGGTGATGGTGGTGATAGTGGTGATGATGGTGGTCATGATTGTGGTGGTGATAGTGGTGATGATGGTGGTGATGGTGGTGATAGTGGTGATAGTGGTGATGATGGTGGTTATGATTGTGGTGGTGATGGTGGTGATGATGGTGGTGATGGTTGTGATAGTGGTGATGATGGTGGTCATGATTGTGGTGGTGATGGTGGTGATGGGAGAGGGGATACAACAGCTGAGCGGTGCGAGGAAGAAGCAGAGAAAGAAGTGGGTGGGTGAGTGGGTGGGTGAGTGAGGGGGTGGGTGAAAGGGTGGGTGAGTGGGCGGCTGAGAAGGTGAGTGAGTAGGTGAGTGAGTGGGTGAGTGGGTGGGTGAGTGATTGGGTTTGTGAATGGGAGAGCGAGTGGATGAGCGAGTGAATGAGTGAGTTGGTGACTGAGTGAGTGAGTAGGGGAGGGAGGGAATGAATGGATGCGTGGGTGAGTGGGTCAGTGAGTGGGTGAGTGAGTGGGTGGGTGAGTAAGTGAATGGGTGAATAATTGGGTGAGTGAGCGGATGAGTGTGGTATTATTGCGACCTGCAGTGTGCTGCGTGGGTGGGTGAGAGGGTGGATGAGTGGGTGTGTGAATGGGTGAGCGAGTGGATGAGTGAGTTGGTGACTGAGTGAGTGAGTAGGTGATGGAGTGATTGCATGGGTGCGTGGGTGAGAGGGTCAGTGAGTGGGTGGGTGAGAGGGTGAGTGGGCGGGTGAGTAGGTGCACGGGTGAGTAATTGGGCGAATGAGCGGGTGAGTGTGGTGTTATTGCGACCTGCGGTGCGGTGGTTGAACACAGTGTGGTGGTGGTGGTGTTGGTGGTGAAGCGACGGACGAGTGAATTCCACGGGAACAGAATCCAGGGTGTCAGCAGCAGCAGCAGCAGCGATGGAAGAGCTACGAGGAGGCGACTGCCCGCTGGTGGTGGAGCAGTGGAAGTGTGAGAGGTGGCTCCCCAGCGTGTCGCTCACTGGAGGTGTTCCTCACCAGCGCGTGGTCTCTACTCCCCGTGTTCTCCTCCGGCTCCTCCTCTCTCCCAGCGCAGGCCACACCACGGGCCACGCGCATTCACCAATGCGCCTGTCTGTGTGTGTGTCTGTGTGTGTGTGTCTGTCTGTGCGTCTGTCTGTGTGTGTATGCGTGTGTGTCTGTGTGTGTGTCTGTGTGTGTGTTGTGTCTGTGTGTCTGTCTGTGTGTGTGCCTGTGTGTGTGTGTGTGTGTCTGGAACATCTTCGCCGGTTAGAAACATTTAGGCTACCCTGCCTACGATCCATCCTGGGTTTAACCAGGCTGGATTGTGTGAGGAGCTCACAAATCCTTGTAAGATCGGGGCAAGGTCCCATCGGTGAGCTCCTCCGGCAGGCAAGGCTGTGCTGGCTGGGTCATGTAGCCCACATGCCCAGCTACCGCATGCCGAAACAGCTTCTGTTCGGCCGGATCGAGGGGGCTAAACGGGCGCGGCACGGGCTAGAGAAGAGATGGAGTGATGTGGTACAGGAGGACGTGGAGCTGAGTGGACTTGCCGATGACTGGTACCAGCGGTGTCAAGATCGGCCTCTGTGGAGGAGGCTCGTGAAGGACGCTACTGGGCAGTTGGAGCCAGTCGCCCTCCAATAACAACGGAGGGCGGAGGAGCGACGCTCACAACAACGAGCGGAGCGCCGGGTAGCTAAAGCACAGCAGGTTGGCACAGTAGGGGGCACAGGTGGTGCATCAGCCAGTCATGTCGGTCATCTCAGTCAGTCTACCCGTGGCACCTGCTGGGTCTGCCCCGTGACCTCCTGCCAGCGGGCGTTCGAC